ACACTAAATACAGACATCTAGAGGAATACCAGAAAGATGGACAGATGGGTGAGAAACAGATACATACCTGCGATAGAGACTGACACTAAATCAGACATCTGGAGGAATACCCAGAAAGATGGACAGATGGGGTGAGAAACAGATACATACCTGCGGATTAGAGACTGACACTAAATCAGACATCTGGAGGAATACCCAGAAAGATGGACAGATGGGGTGAGAAACTGATACATACCTGCGGATTAGAGACAGATATATTCATGAGTGATGTTCTTATCGTTATTCTACTAATAACAATGAAAATAATTGAATTCAATAATTTGTTATAATTACGTTTATTTAGAAACAATGACAGCAGTTTGGCATTGTGTTTTTCTTGAAGGGTTTGTTTGTTTGAAGTTAAGCACAAAGCTACACAATGGGATATCTTTGCTCCGCAAACCACGGGTATTGAAACCCGGTTTCTAGAGTTGTAAGTCCGCAGACATGGCGCTGTGTAACACTGGGGGGGGGGGTCTTTTCTTAATGGGTGAATGTTACAAGTTGAAACGTGTTACTTCGTTCGGGCCACGAAACTTTCAAAACTAACATAACGCTTTTTTTTTTAAGTGTAGTGTTGTTTTTGTTTTTCTAATAAAATAAATTATGTCACGAAAACATTAAAAACTGTATCGAATCTTTATCATTAAATTTCCCAAGTGCTTGACGCCTCGGGGAAACCCTTTTCTGGCTTACTAGACGGAACGCTCACAGACTTTGGGTCTTACGAAGAATGTCTGAATATCATCGTAAAGGTAGAAAAACGTAAGAGAGAACTTTTTCGAGGCAAGTATTGTCTTCTGGAGATAATACCAAATCTACCACTGGAGACGGAACAGTTAGAGCACGGACTGCACGAGACTGTAAGTATATATACAGTTATTCTTGAACAGAACTGGAATTAATTATACAGTTAACATTTCAGTATAATTATCAACTGTTTTAGTGAAAAAAATAGTCTAATTACTCGAGAGTTGATATTTAATTCAACAGAAATAATACTAGGCCTAATATTCGTGATAACAATAACACTATAATTCTTTATATTCACCAGACTTCTAGCTGTCACTATCCAGCTCAGCTTGTAAACATTGTACACAGACTTCTGGCTGTCACTATCCAGTTCAGCTTGTAAACATTGTACACAGACTTCTGGCTGTCACTATCCGTCTGTGTACAATGTTACAAGCTGAGCTGGATAGTGACAGCCAGAAGTCTGTGTACAATGTTTACAAGCTGAGCTGGATAGTGACAGCCAGAAGTCTGTGTACAATGTTTACAAGCTGAGCTGGATAGTGACAGCCAGAAGTCTGTGTACAATGTTAACAAGCTGAGCTGGATAGTGACAGCCAGAAGTCTGTGTACAATGTTAACAAGCTGAGCTTTCTAGCTGTCACTATCCAGCTCAGCTTGTTAACATTGTACGTGTTAAAGATGTACAACTTGTGAAAGTGATTTACAACCCGTATATTGAAGATGTACAACTTGTGTAAGTGATTTACAACCCGTATGTTAAAGATGCACAACTTGTGTAAGTGATTTACAACCCGTATGTTAAAGATGCACAACTTGTGTAAGTGATTTACAACCCGTATGTTAAAGATGTACAACTTGTGTAAGTGATTTACAACCCGTATACTGAAGATGTACAACTTGTGTATGTGATTTAGAAACCGTAAAATTAGTAAGTCTACACTACATGAGTTTGAAACCACACAGTACGGATGTCTATTTTGCTTGTGACTTAGAAACCGTACTGTCAAGATGTTTACTTTCTGTGGCTCAGAAACCGTACTGTCAAGATGTCTAATTTCTGTGACTTAGGAACTGTTCTGTCAAGATGTCTATTTTCTGTGACTTTTAAGAATGTCTAATTTTTGTGACTTTTAAACCATATTGTAAGAATGTCTAATTTTTGTGACTTTTAAATCGTATTGTAAAGATGTCTACTCTCTGTGACTTCGAAAACGCATTGTAAGAATGTCTACTTTCTGTGACTTTGAAACCGTATTGTAAGAATGTCTACTTTCTGTGACTTTGAAACCGTACTATCAATATGTCTACTTTCTGTGACTTTGAAACCGTATTGTATAAATGTCTACTTTCCGTGACTTCGAAACCGTACTATCAATATGTATACTTTCTGTGACTTTGAAACCGTATTGTATAAATGTCTACTTTCTGTGACTTTGAAACCGTTGGATTAAGATTTATTATTTACAATTTAGCTGCTTCAGGATTTGGCAGGAATGAGTGGATATTTATCCTTTCTACACCACACCGTTGGTGTATGCATCCCATCAACGTGTACGGCAGAAGACTTGGCAAACGTTGCACGAGCAGGTTAGTCCTTAATACATAATTATTCAAAAATATATAACATTTTAACGTTGCAGTAAAAAGTCAACTATCGCTGAAAAATCCTCCTCACGCTCAAGCCAAATGTGTCATTTTTATAACATTCAGAAGACTGGTCATTGATCTTGAGATGTCGACTTTTGACCTCACTTAACCTGTCAGCCCCAAAACGGGTGGCCAAAATCAAGGTTCGATACTGAAGTTCACACCACTCTCTAACTTTGTACCAAAAAAAATGGGCCTGCTAATTAGATGTCATCAGGAGGGAATAACTCGTTACGTAGATACGGTTGGAAAAGAGAAACAACTGAGATGATTCAGTCAGTCTGTATAGGACACCTCTAATACCTACCAATAGTTCAGTGTGGTGATCTGGCATCGTGTGGTGATTTTTCACTGGGACGGAAAACTGGTGTCAAATATAACCATATTAGTATACAATCGGACATCTACTCAATGTGATGTACACTTAACTACTATTTATATTATCTTCTTTCATGTTCCATAAAAAGTTTTATTGAGGATAACTGTGAGTCAAATTTCAATGGACAATTGTACGAACTTCAAACAAAGAGAATAGCAGCTGACTAGGCTGGGGATTGCTGTAGCCAAAGTTGGTGTGCGTTAACCATCGAAAAAATAGCAACAAAAAAATAACTTTGATTGCAAATCTGCTAACTTTGATTGCACATCTCCTAACTTTGATAACACATCTGCTAACTTTGATAGCACATCTCCTAACTTTGATTGCACATCTGCTAACTTTGATAACAGATCTGCTAACTTTGATAACACATCTCCTAACTTTGATAACAGATCTGCCAACTTTGATAACACATCTGCTAACTTTGATAACACATCTGCTAACTTTGATAGCACATCTCCTAACTTTGATTGCACATCTGCTAACTTTGATAACAGATCTGCTAACTCTGATAACACATCTGCTACTTTTGATAACACATCTGCTAACTTTGATAACACATCGGATAGCAGGCAGGTTACATTTTGTAAAAGTACTGACTTTCGATGCAACTGCGAAACAAAATTATAACGACACAAAGTAATCAGTGAATACCTTCCGATTCCATCAAGATCCCAAACTAAATGAAGGTCAAATGTCAACATTTTATGGTCAAAGGTAAATAATATGAATGGCATATCTTGTTAGAGCTTTTCCAACAATAGTTTACTTTTTACTGTAACATCAAAAATAAACATGTTATTGGTACTGTTATGTTACTGGTCTCATCTGTAGGCCATTTTGGGTCAAATGTTTGGTGACCTCTCCCATAAAACCCGTTTGACATATAAACGTGAAACTTGGCGAAATATTACATCTCTATGGCATCAATATCTACAAACCTTCGGTTTCGGAGGTAATTTACCTGTCATGGACTGACCTTACTGTGAATCCGAAGGTCCATGGTTCGCTTCTCGTTGACACAAAATCGCGTTCAGTACTTGGGTGCTTTATAAGAGTGACAGTCTACTATTGAATTACAATAGTCCACATTTACTGGTTAGCGATGTTGACAAAATACCTCTACTTTAGTGTCTCAGTTTAAAATTAGGAACGGGTAGCATAGATACCCCGTGTGTATAACTTTCCATGAATACACGAAAAAAATACTTTCCGTTTCTCTTCACTGGTGTAACAGTAGCAGACCTGAAATTCCAAGTGTCAGTACCTCACTGTGAGCAGAAAGAAGATTTAAAGTTGACTTCAGAACAGATTGCAGTTCTGTAAGTACAAATTACCTTTCTATTTAATCTTAATCTTCAGTTTTACTAAACATTTACCTAATGAACTGTCTGGAAATATTACGTACAAAATAACATTAATGTTGGTACTTTGTTTTACCCATAAATCTCCTTCTTTCGATAGTTTTTTCTCTCTTTTTTTTTCAAATCTAAAATCTTTACATGCAACATTATGATGTATTCTTGTACTAATTAGTATATTTACTTTTATCTATTGTTAATCAATTCCATTAATATTCTTAATTAATTCCACGTTTTCGTTAAATTTTAATTCAGTTGTGCTAGAAAGAGTTATTAGTAATTAAATCAATCAAACTATTTAAAGTAAGGTCGTAGATTGATCACGTTTTGATGGACAATCCATCAAATAAACGTTTCATGTGTAAGCTTATGTTGTCTGGCAAATAAACGTTTCATGTGTAAGCTTATTAAACGTTTCATGTGTAAGCTTATGTTGTCCATCAAATAAACGTTTCATGTGTAAGCTTATGTTGTTGCCACTTTCAGTTGAAACGGTGAAGATTTTTGCACAAATTAGCGAGTTAATAACAATTAGCGATTTATTTTTTTCAATATAATAACGCTGCAGAATATTGTTTAGAATCCCCTAAAATTTAAAAAAAAAAGATAAATAATCAATTCAAAGTTCAGTGACGAATCTGTAGACTTAAAACGAACCGACGATGATTCTGTAGACTTAAAACGAAGCGACGATGATTCGAAACTACATAAAAACGTAGCAGTTTTTTCTAAATTCTCCGAATAAATAATCTATAAACAATTTAATGGTTAATTTCCATCTACTAACTGCGCTTCTCAAACAAAAACTACATATTAATAATCAAATTGCTTTTTATTGTCGCTAGATGGAGCAATGAGCATAAAAGAATATGCAATAAAATCTCTAGTTTTAAATGTAGCGTTTTCTTCGGGTTTTTTGTTTTCGTATTTTAAGTACAGATATTCCTCTCTTTTCCATATTTTAACCGCAGATGTTTATCTCTTTATTTTTAGCTGCAAGTATTCATTGAACTCCGTTCATTTTTAAACTGCAGGTGTTCATCTTTGTTCATTTTTTAACTGTAGGTGTTAACTGTAAGTGTTCATCACTGTTCGCTTTTTTAACTGTTGTTGTTCATCTCTTTTCATTTTTTAACTGTAAGTGTTCATCTCTGTTCATTTTTTAACTTTAGGTGTTCATCCTGTTCATTTTTAACTGTAAGTGTTCATCTCTGTTCATTTTTAACTGTAAGTGTTCATCTCTGTTCGTTTTTAAACTGTAAATGTTCATCTCTGTAAATTTTTTAACTGTAGGTGTTCATCTCTGTTCATTTTTTAACTGTAGGTGTTCATCTCTGTTCATTTTTTAACTGTATGTGTTCATCCTGTTCATTTTTTAACTGTAAGTGTTTATCTCTGTTCATTTTTTAACTGTAGGTGTTCATCTCTGTTCATTTTTTAACTATATATGTTCATTTTTAACTGTAGGTGTTCATTCATCTCTGTTCGTTTTTTAACTGTAGGTGTTCATCTCTGTTAATTTTTTAACTGTAGGTGTTCATTCATGTCTGTTCATTTTTTAACTGTAGGTGTTCATTCATGTCTGTTCATTTTTTAACTGTAGGTGTTCATCTCTGTTCATTTTTTAACTGTAGGTGTTCATCTCTGTTCGATTTTTAACTGTTGGTGTTCATTCATCTCAGTTCATTTTTTAACTGTAGGTGTTCATTCATGTCTGTTCATTTTTTAACTGTAGTTGTTCATTCATCTCTGTTCGTTTTTTAACTGTAGGTGTTCATTCATCTCTGTTCGTTTTTAACTGTAGGTGTTCATCTCTGTTCATTTTTTAACTGTTGGTGTTCATTCATCTCAGTTCATTTTTTAACTGTAGGTGTTCATCTCAGTTCATTTTTTAACTGTAGGTGTTTATTGGGAACACTCCTAGTGCTAGTAATTCTCGGAACAACAATAGAACTATGGAGAAAGTATCGTAACCCAGAAACCACGCCACCACCAAACAGGAAGGAAAGTACGTTTCTCTGAATTATTAGAGACAAATAAACAATAAGAAAAAAACGTAACGTCCCTTTATGACGTCAGTTTCACACAAAATGTGCACAGCTATATAAATATGATTATGATAAGTCGTTGTTGTTGTATTGACATTTTAGAAAGTGTGGATATCGGTGGACTGCTCCTGCCTTAATTCATGAGTGGGATGACGTTTCGGCCTCTATACTGACGTCGTTCCACTCAAGAAACAAAACAGAAGCAGTCTCTAACAAACTACAGCCTTAATTCATGAGTGGGATGACGTTTCGGCCCCTATACTGACGTCGTTCCACTCAAGAAACAAAACAGAAGCAGTCTCTAACAAACTACAGCCTTATCATGAACCCATCATTACATAGTCACAGTATTTTGCAACGGGAGTTTTTAGTGAAAGATTGATACATAGCTATTGATCAAGAGAGTCTATTGATATGCAGACTTCTCTCTTCGTCACTATTTTAAAGAATCTTAAATACTGTCCGATTTATCGCCCCACGTTCACGAGAAGAATCATCTCTCAGGCTAGTTTTGTTTCCAGCCAGCGTGTTATAAGCCACCTGGTGGTGGATCTAATATTCTCAGAACTGCCTCTAGGAAATTTAAACTCACAAACAACATTAAATGTTAACGGTGGTGATATTCTATCTTTGTAATCTACACCCACATTTAGAAATATCTCGTTAATACATTGGTGGAAAAGGATATACGAAACAGTTTTGGATCGGAAATGGTCAAACTAAGAGGAACGTGAATATCCACAATTTATATTATTCTTATCACAGGTTTTAGGCGTAGTGGTTTCTAATGTTTCACCAGGTTGTGTGTTTGACCCATAACTTTTGGTCTGGCATGGCCAAGTGGTTAGGGAACTCGACTCGGAATATGCGGGTCGCGAATTCGACAGTTACTCAAAAACACACTTTGGTAGTACTATTTGATTACTTTCATCTTCATAAACTAGACCATCAGTCAATTGTAAAGTTTCTTCTGAAGAAATACTGGATGAAGAAAGAAAGTTTAGTGAATTAATGATCACTGGTGATCATCTGGCCGATTAGCTCTGCGATCAATCTTTTTACTGAAATTACGATTACTGGTCATCTAGTTTGTAATACGTAATAAAGAGAAGTAGTAGTTATTAAATATCATTGGGTGGACAGTGAAGTTAATAATGACAGCCTTTATGTTTTTTTGGTGTGTCTTCATTCGAGATATTAAATTCTGAAGATATTTTCAGGTTAAGAAAGTTATTAGATGTGTTCCTGATATTTCTGTTTGCTGAAAATTAATACTTAAATTTTTTTCCAAAACAAATCCTGGAAGAAACTCTTTGTGTGATACTGATAGCCTTTTCAAGTTACACCAATGGAAAAGACCTGCTGAACACAAAGACTGGACCAGAAAATATTGGAGTTCTCCACGGGTTACGTTTTTTTACAATGGCCTGGGTTATTCTTGCCCACACGTATCTCATGTCAGATTTCAACATTTACAGTGAGTATTGTCCAATAATACGTAACAACTGTGTTACACCATAATTTTAAACAAAGCTGTATACTACTAGTCTTCGCATTTATTGCTGCCACTTATAGCGCCATCTATGATACTTCTGTGGCATTGTAAAAGTATTCCTTAGATTCATATTTTGTGATCTTCACTTGTACATTGATGTGTTCTGGATACAATACTTAAAATTTCTTTTAAAAAGTTAATTAATACTTGTTTGAAGTCAAGTGAACGTTTGGAAAACAGCGTTGTCTTCTTATTGAAATTTAAGGTAAGCTACTGGAAGCCATATTTTAGGCTGAGCTGATCTGGACTAGTACATGCGATGTGGAAATAATGAGTGTAGATGATTTATTGTAGTCAAAACTTTCAATAAAATGTTTGTATACAACTGACGAACATCATTGTGATAGATGGTTTCTTAATTAGTAACCGATAATGTTGGGTCTAGCACAATACCACAACAATGTCTGTAGTCCAGAATACCAACATACCATAACAATGTCTGTAGTCCAGAATACCAACATACCACAGCAATGCCTGTAGTCCAGAATACCAACATACCACAACAATGTCTGTAGTCCAGAATACCAACATACCACAGCAATGCCTGTAGTCCAGAATACCAACATACCACAACAATGTCTGTAGTCCAGAATACCAACATACCACAACAATGTCTGTAGTCCAGAATACCAACATACCACAACAATGTCTGTAGTCCAGAATATCAACATACCACAGCAATGTCTGTAGTCCAGAATACCAACATACCACAACAATGTCTGTAGTCCAGAATATCAACATACCACAACAATGTCTGTAGTCCTGAATACCAACATACCACAACAATGTCTGTAGTCCAGAATATCAACATACCACAACAATGTCTGTAGTCCTGAATACCAACATACCACAACAATGTCTGTAGTCCAGAATACCAGCTTCTATTTCTTTGGCTACTACTGCTGTTTGGATGTTTGAGGAACCAAGAAATCACAGTTAACAACTGTTGTTGTTTGAGAAAAACAATGAGTCTCTCAACCTGTTCTTTGCGACTTCGAAAAACACATTCAAAAGAGCTCATGGCCTGCTCTTTGAGCGTCTGAGTACGACAAAGAAACCTTATGAGGATACTTTCTGGGGGAATTTGAGGAGACTCAGTGTTGCTTTTGGGTTTTTTTGAGGAAGTCACAGAAACTGGGGGTTGCTCTTTAGAGTTTGGGGTTTGAGAAACCCATGAAAGCTCACAGATTCCTCTTTGAGGTTTTTGGAAAGCTAAAAAACTAAGGGTTACACTTTAGAATTTTGAGAAAGACAAAGAAAGCCTTTGGTTGTTTTTTGAGAACACCGAAAATCTCGCTGGTTTCTCTCTGAAGATACCATGGAACAATGTAATAGATACGTAGAGTGTAATACAACCAAAGCACCAGAATTCCTCATTTTAAAGAACAGATTAACATACTCGATACATGATGATAACTTTAGAATATGGTCTCTAACTAAGTTTAAACTACACAAACTCCTTGTTCATTTAGCTGAAACTAAAATTCTATTCCAGAACGTCTCATTGACTTCCGAGATGCACAGAAGGACGTCACTGTTCTAGCCCATTTGGAACTCTTTGTTGCAAGTGGACACATTCTTCTTTGTCAGGTAACAACCACCCTTTCTTTCAAAGACAATCCTAGACTGATTAAATCCACCAATAACAACCACTCTTTCTTTCAAAGACAATCCTAGACTGATTAAATCCACCAATAACAACCACCCTTTCTTTCAAAGAAAATTCTAAACTGATTAAATCCACCAATAACGACCACCCTTTCTTTCAAAGACAATCCTAAACTGATTAAATCCACCAATAACAACCACTCTTTCTTTCAAAGACAATCCTAGACTGATTAAATCCACCAATAACAACCACTCTTTCTTTCAAAGACAATCCTAGACTGATTAAATCCACCAATAACAACCACCCTTTCTTTAAAAGACAATTCTAAACTGATTAAATCCACCAATAACAACCACCCTTTCTTTTAAAGACAATCCTACACGGATTTAATCAACCACATCTGGGTGCTTTATGAAATAAAAAAGTATTTCAACTCCATGTCATGGCCTGATGGTTAGGGAGCGCTCGACTCCCAATCTGAAGGTCGCGGGTTCGAATCCCCGTCACCCAACATGCTCGCCCTTTCAACCGTGGCGGCGTTATAATGTGACGGTCAACCCCACTATTCGCCGGCAAAATAGTAGCCCAAGGGTTGGCGGTGGGTGGTGATGAAATTCAAAAACAAACAAACGAATAAATACATAGGACTTTCTCAAATTTAAGGTGTAGGAAGAACCAGCGGAATATGACACATTAACATGTTATAGGACTAAAAATACATTTTCTTACGTTAGTCCAAACATTTATTACACATAGAGATTTGAAACTTTATCTGTTATATCTGAAGTTCCATAAATTCTAAGCTATTTTCTATTTCTTAAATT